TATTTTATTGCAAATCTTTTTTCCCTTACTGGCCGATGAGGTCTTCACAGGCGCGAAGTGAACCAGAGCTGAGGGTGTGCCTGTGAGGCATAAAATATCTGGAGGGCATCACTCTTTCAGGGGGTCGGGAGCCTAATTCCCTCCCTCCACTTTTATCAATGCCCGTCAAAACTGGACCTTCACTTTTGGTACCCCTTACGCCCGGGTATCCCACCTATGCTCCAAGTCGACGCCCCTTGCGACTATCGCAACTACGCTTGACAGTGATTCCGAATACGGTTGACACTGATGCAATAAGAAGAATGGAGAAGAGCGATGTTATCGCAGTGATACTGCTTCTGCGATAAACCTATATTCGGAATTAGAAAAGTTAATTGGTACTGGCAGGCGGTACCCGTCACTTCTTCAGGGCGCGGAAAAAGTTCTGGCGCACTTCTCCTCTTAGCGTATCTCACGACTTTACAAGCGCTTTAGGTTGTAGCTTTGCCATCTTGTAGCACTAATGTTACTTTTCAAGTTCTACAAATTCCCGGCATTCGCTTGTTTTCGCTTGTTTTACCCTTTTTAAACAAGCGAATAAAGCGGAAGGGTATTTTTCGCTGCTGAAATTAGGGGGTGAAAATCTTCCAGCGAAAGCTCCCAAAACATCTTGGTGGACTTTACGCCACATATCATGTGCTTGTGAAGAAAATTAGATAAGCTGTTGTTTCGTACGGTTGCTACACTAGGCGTTAGCATTAAGGTGGTCAACGCGCGATTTTTCCCTAAAAAGATACCGTGCGGGCTACGTTCCCTCAAAAAACGTGTCATAGCTCTGCGTACGGTAAGAGGCGATGGCTCATCTAAGGGTCGAAAGAAACTTCGAAACAAGGGCTTCTTCTGACAACTTTTCTAGACCTGGTGACAGAGATCTGCTTTAGATTTAGTGGAACGAAGCTTCCTAACCCCTTTCTGAATTGTGCAGTTTCACGTGTTTTCTGCAAGCAGCATCGATGACGTCAACGAGAAACATGGTTCAATAGCCGGGACTTGAGCAATCCTAACCATTCTTTGTAAGATGGTTGAAGCTTAGCTACTCTTTCTTCAAACTACTGAAACGTCCTTGTCATTGAAGTTTCTTGGAGTTATTCCGGGACAATTTTGCAAGCCGTTACCTGCGTATCGCCACACCCGTCATTCAGCTACAATTTTGAGTTTGCGTTAAATGTCAAAGGGGCTTTTCTAGAAAGAGATATGTGATTACCAATCTCCTAGGCACTTATAATCATGCTATAAATCACATGAGGTTCTATCACATTTCAGCAGAGATATATGCGTTTTTCTGAATGCCAGAACTTGTACCGCACCCTGTAGATTGATTATCAACGGATAAGCTAGCTGCAGTACCTTTGCATCTTCGGTTCGATTAAGGGTCGGAAATCAGAGACTAAAAATTTAGTCAGATCAGAATAACACTCCTTCTCCCTCTCAAGCTGTCGATATTCCTAAGCCTGTTTCAAATGAGCCTAAGTCTGATGATTTCGCTAGCGCCGAGATGTGATCCGGTCCTGGGCTGTGCTCCCCTTTATGGTGTCGATTGCCGCGCGTACTTCAGCGGAGAGAATTCGTGGTGGTACTTCGCCACTGCGGATTTTAGAATCTGGCACGGGGGTTGATGAACGGAAGAGATTAGTATAGAGCCTCTCCACTATCGATTCCATTTCACAAACAGAAGATGCTGTAATTCCGTCCTTCTTCAGGGGCCGTATCCACGAAAGTTTCAACGGCAGAAATCTAACAGAAACTTGCCGGGAAGTCAAGTTCCCGTCCTGAGGTTCCCGGCGTAAAACTGCTATCCACGATTGCACAGAAACTCTCGGGAACCTCAGCGCATAGAATGGCTTGAGCATTTCGCGTATACGGCGCGAAACTTAGATTTTCAAACTGCTTTCAAGAACTCATGCATATTTGCACATCTTTTGTGCTCAATACCGAATATTCAATTAAATTAGCTT